AGCAAAGGACATTGACGGGAGAAGGTGTAAGTGATTCAGGAAATTTGTTAGTCTTTCTTTAATCATTTGGTTGGTAATTTTTAGAAGAACAGGCAAGAGGGATATGGGTCTGAAGTTAGTGAATATATCAAGATCTTTTCCGGGTTTAGGAATGGGCACTATTTTTATTGTACGCCAAACAGTGGGAAACGAGTTGGTCATCCAGCGCTCATTTATAGCAGATAGCAGGGTTAGAAGGCTTGGCATGGGAAGGACCTTTATCATTTCATATTTGATTCCGTCATGGCCTGCTGCTGTGGACTTCTTTTTCGACTTAAGGACGTGCGTGAGTTCATCAAGGGAGAATGGAGAGATGTTTTCCATCCGAGAGTTAAGTAAGGAGGTTTGGAGACCACATGTCGGGGAAACTTGAGCTTTCAGCCATTCAAGGTAGGATTTGTTGTTGAGATCATCCCAAATGGGGTGTTCGTATTTCTTTTTTGTGGTGCGATGACCATTTAAAAATTTCCAGAATGGCTTTGTATTGCTATTTGAGCATAGCTCTTCGATAACAAGAGTTCGGTGGCATCTTTTGGCTTTTCTAATCGATTTCTTCCATTCTTTTTGTGATAACTTGAAATCTTCAAAATTAGAAATATTGGGGTATTTGGAAAATTTTTGTTTAGCAGCCTGTAATCTACGGAATTGTGAAGTGAGCAGCTCGTTCCACCAAGGTTTTGGTGAGTAGGAATTCGAGATTTGGATGTCGGATTTGGCGTTAATTATTTCTTGTTGAAACTAGCACTAGATAGACTCGACCTGTGGCTCAAGACATACGTGAATAAGATTATTTAGGAGTTTTTTCCTCGAGATAAAGTCATTTATCTTGTACGAGGTAATAGAGGCGGCATTAAAGATTATAGGAAGGTGGTGGCTGTTTCCAAGGAAAATTTCTTTTTTAACCTCCCGTTTGAATGTGAGATGGGTTGCTTTAGTGAAAGTAAGATCCAACACGCTACCACAATTGTTGGTCGTAGACTGAAAATAGGTTGGTGAATTATCATTCAGACAATAGAAGTTACTAGCTTTAATGATTTCTTGCAAGGCTTTGCCTTTGTTGTTTGACCCGGAGTCACCAAAGCAAGGGTGTCTTGCATTGAAATCTCCTGTAATTATGACATTGTGGAAACTATTGAGCATATCACAGAGACGATTAAAGTCATCCCGGAAAGATTGAATGGGGATGTTGCGCTTGAAATAGCAAACAGCAATGACGATATTAGGTTTTAGACAAGAGGTTTTGATAATGACAATGTCAGCAGTCGATTTAAATGGGGTTTGTTTGAAGGATATGCCTTTTCTGGCAAGGATGGCAACACCTCCATAGCCGTCGCTTCTACATTTATAAGCGGAGTTGTAATTTGAGATTTTGAGTTCGGAAATTTTTTCATCGGACAGAAAGATTTCACTCAAGATGGCGAAATCAGTTCGGTTGGAATTTATGAAAAAATCAAAAGAATGGGCATTACGCCTGAAGCTTTGTATGTTATACTGTAGGAAGGACGTCATGAGAAATGTTAGAACATGATAGGGCCGACCCAGATGTACCTTGTTTTAAAAGATCAAATTTTGATTTAAGGGAACTTATTTCTGTTTGGATGGTTTTAAGCATATCTTCTTAAGAAAAGATGGAGAGAATCTTGAAAATCTTTTCCAGAATTATCTCCATTTCAGTGGATTTATGGTAATTGATGAAAGTATGCTTTTCAGGAGGTGAGGTAGGTTTTTTTGGCTCCTGCGACTTGTTACTGTAAGTCGAGGGCGTCTTGAGAGACATTCTATGCAAGGATTTGGGAATACTTGTTTTATTTTTTAAAACTGCATTGAAGTTTTTGTTAATTAAAATATTATTTGTATCAATAGTAGGGTCTCTGATATTGTTAGGAGCATTGCTGTCCTTCATTGCTGGGAAGTTTACGTCATAGTTTTCGAGTAAATTGTATGGGTTGTTAGAGAATTTCTCTTTGTATTCTCTAAAAGATAAGTTCGGGATGGTTAAAATTTTTTTTAAATTTTCCTCTTTCTATCTTTTTGGACACTCTCGAAATGTTACGTTGTGGTCCAGAGACCCGCAACCTAGACATTTGATTGAAAGGCATGAGTCCGTAGGACAGGCCGGTGACTTGCCACAGTTCAGGCATCTGCTTTCCTTACTTTTGCAGAATTTGGCGATGTGACCAAATCGGCCGCAATTATAGCAGAGGCTGACGGAAGGAATGAAGTCAACTGGAATATTGCAATAGTTGAATTTTATACTCTTGGGAATTAGTTTACCCTCGAAACCAATCTTTAGGCTGTTTGTTGGGATGGACATCTCTCTGTCCGCAGGGTCTCTTCTGAGGATTCTTGTAACAGAAATGATTTCAATATCAGAGGTAGCTGAGTTGAGAAAGTCCTCTTCCTTAATTGAAGGTGGAATGTTTTTTACGATCCCAAATTTTTCTGTGAAAATTCTAGGGATGTAGGCCTTACAAGACTTTGGACCAAAATCATTGTTTATTATAAAGTTGTTGGCATCAACCGCAGTGGCAAAACCAAGTTTGGCTTTGCCATTGCTGATGGTTTGATTAATATCAAAACCATCCAATTTGAGATCTTTGATGTGTTCGAAAAACAATAAATCTGAGTTAAGGCGAAAAGTTTTCTATAGGTTATTTTTACATACTTCAATGAATACGTAGCACTCACCTGTCGTGTCATCACTATAACGATTTGGACTAGTTGGGTCAGAGTTCTTTCCTTTTATGGGACTACGATTATTGTTACTGTTCACAGAGCTGTCTTTATTGGGAGGGAGCGATCGGGGACTTTAAGGAGGTGGTATTGACATCCTCAGTCAAGTCTTTTACGGATGAATTATTCTTATCAGAGATGATCTTTTTGAGACCTTCGTTCTGGTTTGTGATTTTTCTTTTAAATGAACCCTTGCTATGCGTGATTCGAACAAAATTTTCGAAATCATCATCGTTTGATAACATGCTTGAGAGCCTCACTCCCTTGAGGGGCGGGCGACTTTTAGGTTTCGTGCTAGATTAAAGGCAAGAGAAAAGGATCAACTGACTTACCGAGAAAAGAAGGGATATGGAAATCAGCCGTTTTTGGTGGAACCGACAGAGACAGAGAAGAACAAAGCCTTGCAAGTTAAAGCAGTATTAAAAATTTGACAGGAATCGCCGCTACTTGATGTCCAATGTACAGGTGATGCCGCAACTTCACTATATATATTTTCACTACTTCAAGAGTTTTCAGAAACAAAAGTTTGTGAAAGAAAAAAAAATTTATTTTTCAAGAATTTTCTGCAAGAAAGCGTCTTGTTTCATGCAGAGTTGCTGAGCGAAATGTACAAAATATTTTCAAACAATAAAATATTGTATTACGGAATAATGCAAAATGATTATGAATTAATGAAAAAAATATTGTGGATATACATCAAGACTCGCTTTGAAGAGAGACAGAAAGAGAGAGAGAGGGAGAGAAAGAGAGAGAATATATATATATATATACATTTTACATACAATATATATATATACATTTTTTCTCAATTTTTTGTTGCCGTTATATTGAATATAGGGAGAAGAAGCGTAAAGTTCTAAATCTTTGTATACAACTTAGACGTAAATCGTTACTATAATTAATTGTACTTTGTTTAAGATATTAATCATATGTAAAAGAAAGTATATGTGCGTTTTGTATGTGTAGTAATAGTACATATATGATTTATTAGTTTATGTTTTGATAAACATTAAAAGCTTTGTAAAGAATAATGACAATTTTTTATGTTCTCGTATATTTATGTGTAGAAAACTAAGACAAAGTGAATAAAAGTAAAAGATGAAAGATGATATATGGGAGTAATCCGACTCTTCACAAAAATGCGTTTTGTTTAATATTCTTTCTGTATTATTTACAAAAGCCTTTTCTTTTTTTTTTTTTTTTTTTGCAAACACTATTTCAGTAGACTAAATTTTATCGATAATAGGGGCAAAAAAGTGTCTTCTTATTTTCAAATCATGCCCCAATAATTCCAAGCGAGAAAACCGAAGAACCAAAGAAAGCCGGCCGTACAGGTAAGTATGGCGGTGTTTCACTCATATAGAGTTAGTTGAGCATTGGTGTTCAAACGAACAATCAACTCTCTAATACCAATATATACATCGAGTTTCCTTGAGCAAAATAGACCACTACGATCTCACGTAGAGTTCACAAAAAAAAAAAATTTAGACTTTCTTTAGCATGTTCATGCCAATAATAAGAATTATTTTCCATTCTATGACCTCAGATAAATTTCACGTGAAATCAGGCTTTCCACAAGCCAGCTGCTTTTCTTACATTCATGATCTTACCCTAATCTTACTTTTTATATTGGAATCGTGCTCTCCTTCAGTCCGGTTGGATTAATTTGGTTGCAAGAAGGTTATATATCTACTGCTGACTATGTTGTTGATTCACAAAATGCGTTATACGCGGTTAATTAAACCTATGCCGGAATAGGCCTTTGTTGCACGGCCTTGATTCGATAAAATTAATTTAGAAACAATTCTTGCCCTTTGTACTTAGGAATCTGGGTCACCATCGTTGGTTACTTTTACTTTCACTAGAGAAACGTAGGACTTCTCTTTCCTGTGGGTAATACGATCTAGATCGTATGCGAATCTATATTGGAATCCTCTACGACCTATTGAGTTACCGACTATGTTAAAATCCAGTATTACCTACTTTCTCCAACCCATAAAGTTGAATGTTATGTAATGTATTGTGCCCACAAATTTAAATTCATAGCAGTCAAAATCATACTTTTTTTTTAATATCAAAAGCATTTTGTTAGTTAATAATTAAGCCGAGGAATACTTAAACTCTAAAATCAATTTATTAATACCGAAAGAACGAAATAACGAAAACGAGCGGAATAATTGCGGTACAAGAAAAAAGATCTATTCTGCTCAGTAACAACGCAACACTCGTCATGCTTCGCCCATCTCAACAATTTTATAAGGGAGATTTTTTGCTATATTTTTAGGATGCTTTGTCGACTTTCCCCACCTTACATCCCTGCCACCGAAACGGCCAACCCGATTGTCATGGCCACCACCGCAACTATATTTCTTTAAGAACTGCGGCGTTTCTTGGCCAGCACCTTCTAGAATTTTTACCAATTCGCCAGCAATAGCCGAGTCATGCTGGGGATCAAAGAAACTACTAGCTTTGCCATTATTTCCCACGCGACCAGTGCGTCCGATACGACGAACGTATTCATCAATTGACGATGGCATATCGTAATTAACTACGTGTCTAATATTTTTGGTATCAAGACCAGGAGTAGCTACCGAGATCGCAATTAGCACTTTCATTCTTTCTGCTTTAAAGTCTGCCAAAGCAGTTTCGCGTTGCCATTGAAAACGGTCGCCGTGAATCGAAGTAGTCGGATATTCTGTTTCTGACAATAAAGATGCTAAAAAGTCGGCACTTCGTTTGGTTTTCACAAAGACAATCGTGCCGCTCGCGTCCTCCTTTAAAAGTTCCTGTTTCGAAAAAATCGCCAAATAGTAATTAAAAATCTTCAACATTTTATATCGCAACGGTTACTTGCCATGAGTTTGGCTCTCTTCTGGAATTTTTCGACCTCATACACATTCTGAGTGACATCGGAATAAGCACCACCTACTACGCCGACAGCTACAAATATATATTCATTCAAATATTCCCCGGCCATGCTTCGCATAGTTGCGTGATTCATTATCGTGGCTACAGCGTCTTTGAAGCCCATGTCTAACATTCGATTAGCTTCATCGAGGACCACGAAACGTATATCCTCAAATGTAATAAAACATTTTTCTACAAAATCCATTAAACGGCCCGGACTGGAAATTAATATGTGGCATGGACCCTTGACCATATTTTCACTTTGATATTTGGGCGAAGTACCCCCGTAAACGATACGTATATTTAAATACGAACCTAAAGCAAATTTACGTGCCTCATTGAATATCTGGATAGATAATTCGCGTGTAGGCGACACAACCAAAGCGTGTGGCCTACCAATCGATGCTTCAGCATTATCATTCAGCAACTGACTGATAATGGGTATAAGAATGGCCGCAGTTTTGCCGGATCCAGTCTGCGCACAAGCCATCAGATCCCGCCCACTTCCTAATACGTTTATTCGTAAGAACTGAACTAAGAATAATAAAATGAAAACTGAAAATTTACGCTTAAACAGCCTAGAGCGTACTTGCGTTTTTTACCGCTAATAATTTTCGCACCATTTAATAAAGGCTTAAGATCTTCTACTAGTCCTTTTTAAATTTCAATAATACCGATCAATTCAGAATCGCTTTTTGCATTGATCTAAGTTAGAAAGCTTTTACGAGACATTAGTCAAAAGCTACAAATGTTCTATTTATCTCAAAACCAATGAATGTGTGAAAAAGGTCTCAAATCGGTTTTATTGTTTGGTATGATTGACAATGCTATGAACGTCGTTACAAAAGAAGAAATAACAATACAAACAACAATACAACAACTTCTGTAAAGGCTGAGATTTTTTACTTCTTCTCGTTTTTCTTTTTTTTCTTCTGCCCTTGTCTGTGAAATGGTAACCACACCTTCCCGGCTGTCGCATTTTATAGCCATTTCTGTAATCTTTTTTAAGTTGAGTAAGCGCAGTTATTGTTTTCGCAGAGTAATCTTAAGCATATTCATGCCTTTATTTAAGCTATCCGCTTGCCTGCCATCTCCGAGAAAAACTCTTAACGATAATCGTCGCCTTTTCAAATATTTTCAAAACTCTTTACAAAACGCTTTCTTCATATTATTAACTCGAGCGGTACTGTATGAGAATCTTGTCAACTGCAGTTGAAGCATTATCTGTGTAAATGCACACACACCTTTACTCAATGCATTGCTATATTGCTATATTTCCGTCAGCACATCCTCACCGCATAAGAACTCGTGCGAGACTGAGTAGAAAACTAAACCTTTTGTTGTTATAGCTTTGTGTAAACGCACCTACGCTTAATTTAATGGCTTTTTTACAAAGTCCTGTAAAATTATTGAGAACGAATATACGCTTATTCCTTAAAGTCCCACAATACATGCGCAATTCTTGATAATTGTATACGCTTATTCTCTAAAGTCCCACAATACATGTAAAGAAATTTATTCAAACATTCTCAATTGTAAACAATTTTTATTTTCTCAATTGTATGGAATTTTTATACAAATTACTGAGAACATATACACATTAATCTCGCATCGATGGCTTTTTTATAAAGAGACCTGTTGAATTATTGAGAACGAATATACGCTTATTCCTTAAAAGTACAATTTTTTTCTTTCATATCTTTAGCATCTCATTAGCTTAATTTTTTTAAACAGACATTAATACTATGTTAATCTTAATTTTTTTTAATTTTCTTATTCTTATATGTATATCTATTTATATCTTTATATATATATTTTGTAACGAGTTTCCTTAGGCGGGGTATGACTCAGTCAATCCAGGATTCGTTGCAAAAAAATTTAGAAAAATAATCAGGACCTTCGGGGGGAATGGTGTTTAGTTTCCTAGATTTATTGTTTCCTCTTTTCTGGATAGAAGTACAGCAATTTGTGTAGAACTGGGCTATGGCGAGGAAAAGGAACCAGCGAGGTGACCTGACTTTGTTGCGCGCTTACCGTTTTATTTTCTTTTCTTACGACGTTAGACTTTCACTTTCTGTTCGCTTTTAATATCGCGGGGCGCTGGAAGAAAAGAACCGGATACGTTGCCAGTGTCATAGCTGCCTTGGTTCATCCCTGGTTGGTATGCGAGTACAAAAAAAATAAATAAAAAAAAACGTCTCTCAGTTCTTCAGGGATGGCGATTAAAAAGCTGAACCAGCACATCCCCTATCAG